AACCATTTGTAAGGTGGGGATACTTTTTCCAAGGCAGGGTACTAACCATTTGTAAGGTGGGGATACTCCTTCCAAGGCAGGATACTAACCATTTGTAAGGTGGGGATACTCCTTCCAAGGCAGGATACTAACCATAACAACGAACTTGTTATCCTGTTTTAATAATTTAAATCACACTAATGTTTACAGGTACTAACAGTCAATACACATGTTTACACTGAGTTTGTGTATCAACAACGAACTTGTTATCCTGTTTTAATAATTCAAATCACACTAATGTTTACAGGTACTAACAATCAATACACATGTTCACACTGTATCAACAACGAACTTGTTATCCTGTTTTAATAATTCAAATCACACTAATGTTTAAAGGGACTAACAAACTTCTACATGGTACGTCCTGTAACTCACGTTTTAGGCTTACTTTATACTACTTTAATTATTATTTTTTTATTAGTATGTATGTGTGTGTGTGTGTGTGTCAAACTAAGGTTTTAATTAGAGAAAATCACACATTATCGTCCTACGACAAGGTTCCCACGTGACCAAAAGTACACTTCGAATATCCAACAATGAAGTCATCCATGAACGAAAAGCGTCTATAAGGTTGTTAACAGCACTTCGTCTGGGCTCTTTAAAATCCCCTTATGTTAATCCCCAGCTCAACGAGTGCCAACGTTTTAAAGAGTTTGTCCGCATGTGCCCTCGTAGTTTTAAACACCCAGGATTAATTCTCTAATTTATCCGGTCCGATTTTAGTAAAAGAAACAAGATGAAATACTAAAAATTGAAGTGACATTAAAATAAATTTCTAAGGTCAAGGGTATCCAGTAGAACTGGTTATACAGGTTCACTTACTTGGACACAAGAGGGCAGAACAAAAGGGATAGTCGACGGACGTGTTTAACAATTACGTTTATATGACTAAAATAAATGCGAACAACATGGCTCATATAAAAAAACGACACCACAATAAGAACACGAACAGAACTACTACGACAGCAGAAACTTCGAAATATCTTTTTTATTGATTTCGCTACATTTCATTTTTCACCAATCATTGCGTACCATTAAATCATCGTAATTACAGGCACTTCGCCAAAAAATCGACTCGTGACGTCAATATTACGGCATACAAACTGTTTGCATCAAAAACTACCAAGTTGTAGTTTTAATGTACCTATTGTTAAAATATTGTGATGGAAATAATAACATTCTATATAACAGCAGTCTTAATACGTAACAACATCCAGTACAGACAAGATACTGTGAGAAATCGTTCTGGAACTAATACATTGAATATCTTCGAAAACAACAGAATCATTCATAATTTCTATGGAATTAGGCTTCTAAAAATATACGTCAATTGTATAATACCTTTATAGTTAGAAAAATAGACTATATAACCAGTAATGTGTCTTACTGTCAAAACTATATAACCAGTAATGTGTCTTACTGTCAAATGTTCAGTAAACATTGTGTCAAAACTATATAACCAGTAATGTGTCTTACTGTCAAAACTATATAACCAGTAATGTGTCTTACTGTCAAAACTATATAACCAGTAATGTGTCTTACTGTCAAAACTATATAACCAGTAATGTGTCTTACTGTCAAATTTTCAGTAAGCATTGTTGTCAAAACTATATAACCAGTAATAGGATGTTCTAACAACTGTGTTAAACAGCACTGTTGAAAAGTAAACTATATCACCAGTAATAGGATGTTCTAACAACTGTGTTAAACAGCATTGTTGAAAAGTAAACTATATCACCAGTAATAGGATGTTCTAACAACTGTGTTAAACAGCACTGTTGAAAAGTAAACTATATCACCAGTAATAGGATGTTCTAACAACTGTGTTAAACAGCACTGTTGAAAAGTAAACTATATCACCAGTAATAAGATGTTCTAACAACTGTGTTAAACAGCACTGTTGAAAAGTAAACTATATCACCAGTAATAGGATGTTCTAACAACTGTGTTAAACAGCACTGTTGAAAAGTAAACTATATCACCAGCAATAGGATGTTCTAACAACTGTGTCAAACAGCATTGTTGAAAAGTAAACTTTTTACAATGAACTAACAACAGTGCTGTTTAACCAAAGCAACTTCATTAGTCAAAAACACAAGTTAACAATTTAAGAAATAAATAAAACAAACTGCCAGAAAAACATTTTTTGGCTCACATTTTACCAACCAAGTTCTAAAGACAAGGGTCTTGTTTCTGTAGTTCAAAATTATGTATAAAACAAACAAGTTGACTTCAATATTTTATAACATTCAAGTTATTGCTTTAATCTGCATAGTATTTTATACACTTATTCACACATATAAATTTCTGTAATAACTTATTGTTTAGAGTACTTACATATTTACAAACTCTTATCTGATATTACAAAACAAAACATTTTGGCCAAAGAAGCTTGTTTTATCTTTAACTTTAGAAATAAATCAGATATACATTTTTTGTTACTTTTGGTCTTTTATTCCCAATATCACTCTGGTTGTGGGATAATCTCAAATTTCTAACTGAGGACTTTTGTTCATCTACAAAACTAGTGTTAAAATAAAAATGCACAAACAAGTTTATAACATGATTTTAATTACCCCCCCCCCAAAAAAAACTTTGTGTTTCAAGATTGGTAAGTTTAAAATATTAATAGGCATGAAGTGTTGATTTTGTAATGCAATTATTTTACTGCATTTATGGCAAAGCTACTTGAGCCATCTGCTGTTGTCCCTAGTTTTGATCTACTGACCAGAAGACAGACAGTCAGCAGAACACTGTCACCCATCATCCATGCAAAGGGAGTGACTATCACTCTTACTTATCACACACAACTTACAGTGTTGGGAATATGTTGTGGTATTGCATGGATTCAAACCCTGTTTGTCACCTCCAACCCACACCCACTAAAAGCATAATACCACAAAAACAAAAATCATTACTTCTACTTAGCTATCTATAAAACTCCACACTTTTTATTTTATTCTCACAATGGAAAGATGTCACAGTAATACTGGATGGTCAGTCTGTGGGTTACCTGGTAAGTTCCCACTTGTCTACGTACTGGAAACACTGACCACAGGTAAACACATAAAAATCCTCACACAGAAGAATTTGTAGTTGTCAACTACAACGAATATAATAAGTTACAACAGCTACTTATAAGTTGTTAATTAAAATAATCATTAGCTGAATAATTTGACACTATGCTAGTAGAAAATGAGATCTTAAGACATTTAATTAGTAATTATTATCACATGATACATAGTTTACTCAGTTATTCACTAAATATCTTCCTAAATGGTAGACAGATTTTAAACTCTCGAACTAAAGACGAAAATGACGTCACATCAAACCTGACAAGTCCTTCACATCTGGGTCCAGACACGATCCATCACACAACACATGACTCCTGCCATCACAAAAGCCATTCCTACATATGTTGCTGATGGAAAATTGAAAGAGACTATTTCAATTAAACAAATCCATTGTTTGATTTTACAACCAAATAATAGGTAAACATAAAATCTAGTAAATGTCACAGTTTCAATATCGAAAGATGGAAAAACATTACAACCTAACACACTTTACGTTTGTTACCAAAAAACAATCACGTAAAATGGCTGTTTCTTTCCCCCAGACGAATTGACGAGTTCTGTCACTGAACGAAAGGCCACTTAGACAGTATGCAAGTGGAAGACAAAATAAAGAACTGTAGTGCTATTTTTACACACCTCTCGTTCATATAAAATTGGAAAAGAACAAATTATGAGAAATGCGGGTGAAATATCTGCACTTTATGTGGTTTTATTATTTTTTTATCATAAAATCTGGTAATTCCAATCTTTACATTAAACAGGTTAAAGGTGATATCTTTTTATTTAAGTTTGTATCAATGAGTTTGTTTCTTGTTACGAACAGGATAACACAATGGGTTATCTGTTTCTGTGCCCACCACTGGTATTAAACCCCAATTTTTAGCATTATAAGCATATAGACGTACTGCTGAGCCACTAGAGGCTGACCAAAGAGACTAATGAAGATGAATACAACATAATAATGCCCAGAACGTGAGCTACACGTACATTTAAAACTAAGTCATGTTTCCCGCCATGTTACGAAGTCTGTTGTGTCTTACTATACAGAAGAATGTGTTACTGTGATCAGTCAGTATTTAGACATGGGGATGATCAAAACTTCTATTTTGGTTTTACCCTTACGACCCCCCCCCCTCCACACACACACATCTCTTGTAATTTAAACAGAAATGTACGAATATCGACACCATATCAAGTGTCTCAACGATAATTAGTTAAGTACGGCGAGTTTCGTATGAGCTTCGAAAAACTGACGTTGATTATTTGGTGTCAGAAAATAATAGTACCTACCAAGACGCTACTGATAACAGTGACACCTGTAAATAATATTATGAAAAAGTGGGAAACATTTTTATTATGCTTAGGTAAATATCATATATATATTTTTTTCTTATATATTTATATATACATATTATTTTAAGAAAAAAGTGGTGCCTTTCTTCCCTGCTTTATCACTGTTGCCATTTTTACTTAAGCCTTTTTATTTATTTATTACGAATTTAACTTGCAATATTTAATCGTAATTAATATATTTCAATAGTTCATACAGTAAATCAATCTGTGCTTATTTTCAATTTTTGTCCACATAAAAACCTGAATGGAGCTTTGTTAAGTTACTCTCAAACTAAGTAGCCGAGATAATGACAATTACCTCAAATGTGCATGCGAATAACGTAAGAAAAGGCTTGGGGTTAAGAGTAAAAGGAAAGTCTCGCGTTACTTATTCTCCTCTAATAAATAACTTTTTTATTGATAAAAATAGGTTTAATTATTTTATTTAGCTGAAATCGTTATTTTTATCTCTATTACATTCGATGGACAAGTAATAATGGCTACACTCCCCACCTCCAATTTAATAATGAAAGGGTATTTGTTTAAATATATAAAGCACTTTTCAATACTATCACTTCAATGTGGTTGGACCAGTTCGGATAAACACAAAAGTCTGTCAGTAAATGTACATAAAACTGTTCCTATACAACATCGTCACGTGAAATCTTTAAAGCGACACCTACCGCTGCTTCCGACTTCTTCCCCAAGAAATCTTCCAGATATCGTGATGAAGATGAAGGTAAGGGCGTTGGTAAGAGGTACTGCCATAGACAAGTCTGTATAACAAATACAAAAAAAAGTTTTCATAAAGACCAACATCCATATAGGTAAACATGCCTCCGTGGAACATTTGCTTGTAATTACACATTTTAAATTGGATCATTCATTTTCTAACCCTGACTTTTTTTTTTCTCACTCTAAGAAACACCCCTGCTCCTGTCACTTAACCGAAAAAAAACAACAAAACTTTTAAACTTGGTTCTACGTTTCCCAATTCTAGTTCAATCTTATAACCTCTTCTCCATATCGGGATTTAGGTCTTTACTGTTGAATTTTGCGCGAAGCTGCTCGAGGAATATTTGTGCTAGCCGTCCCGAATTTTGAAGTGATAAACTAGAGTGATAATCCACTGCCATTTCGTGGCTACTCTAATCGAAGAGTATGCTTTTCCTGTCACACTTATAACACAACCATAACCCTAAAATTCGGATCACGGGTTTCTATATTCATTTATTTTTTGGCAGGTGGGGAGGAGTTACGAGACGCGAACCACATTAGTGCATACAAACACACCTATTTACAAAACATAACGTCATCAAGACATTTAACGATTACAAGTCGACAGAAACTTTTCGTGTCATCTATACCAAAATGTATACCACATTCTGGCAGCTACCAGACAAAAATAAAACTGTGGCGTTCATTTTGTAGCTCAAAAGACACACACACATATCACTCACACTAAAAAACAGAACCGACTAACCAGTTGTTACACTACAGTAATATTATCAAAGTAACTTAATAATGTTATCTTTTACACTTATACAAAATGTTTTGCTTCTTGATGGGGGTAGTGACGTCAGGAAACAACAACAAAAAAAACGTTTATATCCTATTTCACGAATGGTTAAATCTTATGGTGTTACGAAAATAGGGGGTCAAGTTTCTATAAATGGTGTAATTATATAAATACATAATATACCACAAAAAGTGGCTGTGTAACGTTTTCTAACCGGATGAACACCGCAGAATGGTTGTAACGTTTTATAACCGGATGAACACCGCAGAATGGTTGTAACGTTTTATAACCGGATGAACACCACAGAATGGTTGTGATGTTTAATAACCGGATAAACACCGCAGAATGGTTGTAACGTTTTATAACCGGATGAACAC